CTTCCCTCTTTACCCCATTCTCCAAACCATACACATGTACCCAGCTGGGACTGTCCTGCTTCTTCCTTAAATTTGTAAAACAATGCCCGATGAAGGTTAACAATCTAGCGTAGAATGTACCAGAGCTGCATTTAAGTGGTACAATACAAGCGTGAAAAGCCTTCCAGCTACTGTAGGTAACCAGTCTGGCTGAATATTTAAAAGAAGTCAAAATAAATAAATAAATACCTAAATAAGTAAATAAATAAAAGAAGACTAGCCTGCTACACCTAACTGGACCTGAGTTTACACCTTCCTGGATGGCAATTTCATACCTGGCACTCAGTGCTGTGTTTAGCACATACTAAGCATTTAGTAAATGTCTGCTGCATGAGTGACTGAAATTGTCTGCTTTTCTTTGGCTCCCATTCATATTGCCCACGTTTTGTATTAGAGATCTCGTTTTTCCAGGCACAGATTTGAGTTCCACTGTGGGGACTAGAGGTGACACTTTAGATGAAAAAATAGGAGGAATATTTGAAAATCAGTCCAGTTACAGAAAGAGGAAAGTGAAGAGATTCATAAAAGATTACAGTTCTTTTACATAAAATATTATCTTAAGTTTTGACCTCTGTGCAGGTCAATTTAATTCTCTATTCTGTGGCCATGGTATGGTCCCAAACCTGTCATCTTCTATTAATGTATGCCCTTAAAGAGGGAAGGGAAGGCAAAGCAAAAAATCCAAAACCAATTTTGAAGGGGAAAAAAAATCTCTCAAAACATGGGTCCTACTAAGTAAACGTCAGTGATGTCATTTTTCATAACAAGGTAAGGCTTTAATGCAAAGACTGTGAAGATTCTGAGCCTCCCTGATAATTCCCTGACTACAGGCAAAATAAATATTCAGAGATTAAATGAGGCAGGATATACTACTATAAAATGTGGAAGCCTAGGACAGCTTAGATCCTCCAGTTCAAATGAAAGATCATTCATTTGTTCAACAACCTTTTATTAAAAAACTTTTCTTAAATGTTTATTTTTGAGAGATAAGAGAGACAGAGACAGAGAGACAGAGTGCAAGCAGGGGAGGGGCAGAGAGAGACACACACAGAATCCGAAGCAGGCTCCAGGCTCTGAGCTGTCAGCACAGAGCCCGACGCGGGGCTCAAACTCAAACTGTGAGATCATGACCTGAGCCGAAGTCAGATTCTTAACCTACTGAGCCACTGAGGTGCCCAACAACCCTTTAATTTAAATGCTTCTATATACCAGGAACTATTTTAGGTCCTGGAGATCCAAATTAGGGCTTGAAAAGAATGTGAAGCATGGAGAATATCAGGAAATATTCAGAGGAGAAAGTTGGAAGAAATAATATTGGCAGAAACCTTCTACCAACCCTGTAATGCCCCACAGAATACTAACTAGTCTCTCTCTTCCTTGACAGATAAGTTTCTTGAAAGAAAAATCTATTCCTCTGTTAATGTACAGAATTAAGAACAAACTTTTAGAACTTTTGTGGCAATTTGACATGGCCATGACATCCAAGCCTGTCATCAGTAAACTTGTCTTGTTGAAGAGTATAAATCAGTTTGTGTCATCCAACTCTCAGGGTACCTTGTACCTGGTGCAAGTGACATAGTCACACATAGCAAGACTGCAGTCCATACAGAGTGGAAATTACAGATACGTGCTTCACCAGAGACATTTGAAAAGCACTGGTCTATATCACACTGTTTCCACTTCATCACTTCATTCGGTCTTCAAGCCATTTCAAACTGCCATCAGCCCTCCCCATGCTGCTAAAAATGCCACAGGAAATGTCACTGACCTTATGGACAAGTGTGGTGGATTCTTTTTTGTCTTCATGATATGATAAATAACATCTCCAGCACTTTCCACCCTTTGCTTCTGTAACATTACAAAGTTGTGTTATCTCACCTCGCTGACAACACCTTCTGTCTTTCCAGGCTTCTCTTTTGCCTACTCCTTGGCCTATTTCTCTTCTCATGTTACATTCACACAGATTATTGCAGGACAATCTTACTGATGTTCCATGGTTTCGACTATATACTGTTGACTTCTAAATCTCTGTTTCCAGGGTTATAAACTTGATGGTACACTAATGTGCTTAGAAGACTTAGAAAAGCAATCAGTTTAAGTTTAAAAAGCAAGATAAACAGAGAACCAATTTTTCATTTATAATTTTTTTCAAAAATTAAATATTATTTACCCCCAGAAACCATTTTATTCCAAATAAAATCTTATATGAATTCTAATATATGAAACAAAATAAAAACAGTTTCTTCAATGGCTGTGAGCCCTATCCATTTAGTCTTTTACTTTCTGGGGCTCTCAGGTAATTGCTGAACCATGGGGTTTCTTTTCTTCTTCT